CCGCACCGCGGTGGCCGGGCCCAGGACCCCCGCTCTGCGTTCACGGCCGTCCGCTGAGTGCCGCGACGTGGCCCTGGCGAGGCAAAGTCCGCTACCGCGCAGCCTGCCAGCGCCTTCCCTCCGCACAGTCCCCGTTGGGAAAAAGACACCGAAACCGTCTTTCTGAAATAAAAATCTGCACCATCTTCGCTGCCCGATCACAGATAGCAATTACGGGTGACATTTCCTAAACGAACCTCCAATCTCTTTATTCACATTGAGACGGTTCTTGGCTACAAAAAAGGAGGCGCAGGACATCAATCACGCTGCGGCATCAGCGCCCAGAGATGTCTTTAGCAGGTCAATAATCTTTTCACCTTAGCGGGACTTTATCAGATTTTGTCTAAAGCCTGGATAAAAGCTCTGCATTAAGTACTTCCAACCATTGACAGGGCATCTCCACCACACAAAGCTGGCTTCTTCCTCAGGGTGCAATCCTCAAGGTCACAATTCTGTGCGGCCTTCCAGAAGGACAAAGGAGCATTTCCTCTGGCCAAACAAGCTGTCAACACAAACTTTGCCACAGCTCAGATAAAGAAACTGGCAGACAGCGATAATAAGGCCTAATTTCCCGCCCTCCCGAGGGAGCCGCAGGTCAGGCCGCCGGAGAAGCGGCGCCGGCAGGCGCGTTATCTGCGGCCAGACAGGGAGACTCACTGTGAACTCGTCCAAGGGCTCGTTGATCTCGATGTCCAGCACCTCGTCGCGGTACAGCGGCTCCTCCTCCGGCTCGCCCACGTACGCGACGTGGCCCTCGGGCAGCTCGGCGTCGGGGCCTTCGTACTGGCCCTCCCCGGGGTACTCCTGAGCATACAGCTCCGGCCCGTCCGGCTTGGGGTAGGCCGGCTCGTCTTCGCCTTGCTCATACTCGGACTCCTGCTCTCCCGACTGGTCATTGGTGGTGTCAGAGAGCTCGAACGACGCGACCATGCCAGAGGTGGTGTTCAGACTGATGGTGACGCCCTGGGAGCTGGGGACACGCAGAGAGAGGCGCCCGAGGCGTCAGACCAGAGCTCCTTGCACCAGGACCGGGGCCTGCCCGCTCCACGAGGAAGGCGCGCCGGCCACAGCCCCCACCCGCCGTGCAGCCCGGCCACGCCGGCTGCCCGCCCAGGGCGCAGCTCAAGGGCCAGGGCGGGGCTGGAGCAGCCGGACTACAGTCTCGCTCCAGAACGAGGACGGCGCCTGTCCTGAGACTGCAAAGTAAAAGCTGGATGCGCTACCTGCAGAGAAGACCAGAGCTGGCATTCGAAGAGCACTTCGTTTTGAAGTGCCTGACAAAATCATGAACTTCTGTGCAAAAAAGTCAAAAATGTTTGAAAATACATTTCACTGTACAAACACGATACAGTGGTCACAGATTTCAGAAACAGCTCCTCCTCGAGTCAAACAACAAACCGCAGGAGCCGGACTCCCTGCGCGTCGCAGACCGGGGCAGCGCCGCGGATTCGGGGCGCGTGCTCGCAGCCCAACAAAAAGGTGCCCGAGAGAATGGAAGACACGTGTGGCTGGAGCCCCAGAGGGATACCCTCAGGTGCGCCGTGGTGGTTCGCGGGGCACGCTCGGCCCGTCCCCCGCCTGCCGTCCTCTCCTCGGCTCAGGGCGAGCACCCCCTTTCAGCACCTCTAAGCGGGAGGCTGAGGCCTCCAGAACCCGAGGCGGCGCTGGCTGCCACAGAACCCCCCGGACAGAGAGTGGCGCTGTCAGTCCAACTTCCCCACCTCCTGCCAG